TTTAAGCATGCGTGGGATAGGCATAAGGCTATCTTAGCAATAAGATAAGGCCAGGGACTAATGAAAGTATTTAGAAAATTGGGCAGACTAGATGGGCCGAATGGTTCTTATCTGCCGTCACATTCTATGTTTCTATGTAATTGTGGTTTTCCTTATTTCTGGGGAAGTTGCTTGTGGGGTTGTGTGCATGTGCGAGGATGCTGCTTGTGGGGTTGTCTGCGGGGATGCTGCTTGTGGAGTGGTGTGCATGTGCGGGGATGCTGCTTGTGGAGTGGTGTGCATGTGCAGGGATGCTGCTTGTGGAGTGGTGTGCATGTGCGGGGATGCTGCTTGTGGAGTGGTGTGCATGTGCAGGGATGCTGCTTGTGGAGGGAGGCTGCTTGCATGGTTGCAGGTGTGGAGGGAATGATGCTGGTCTGGTTGCGGGTGTGGAGGAAGGCTGCTTGCATGGTTGCAGGTGTGGAGGGAATGATGCTGGCTTTGCAGTTAAACATTCAATAGTGGCATGTTAAATGCATAAAACACAACATTGAAAAACACCAAGACAAGCTGCACATTTAAACCCAGCAGGTTTATTAACAAATATTATAAACTGTATACAGCAAGCCAGGGAAACACAAGTGGTGTAGTAGTAATAATAATAGCAATAATAATAATAACAACAATAACATTTTTAATACCCAAGTGTTTCCCCGGTATCCCTTATTACTGTATGTATTTTTCTTTTTTTACTTTTTGCTAAACAAACGGTTTGTTTTATATTCGTGGCTTGCGGTGCTGTTTTGAGTAAGATCCATCAGCTGGTTAAATTTTATTTATTTTTTCTATTTCGACGCGGTTATTGTTGCATGGAAGATGTCTGGTTAAACCCAATGGGTAGATAAGTACGGCACGCTGCCACTGAAGTAAGCTACGATACACAGTTGCAGGTACATGTTTTTTTTCTCTATTAAATTCACATCTGCCTATTTATGAAACATAACTGTGTGCATCGATACAGTGCTGATTCTAGTGTATTTAAGGTGTAAGTGTAGATTTAGAGTGCAAGCTTTCAAGATCACTGGTCTGTTCTTCAGCTTTCATTTTGATGGCTAGATTTGATTAAAAGATAACTTTGGTAACTGAATAGCAGTTATCACACAGACACCCGAGCGAAAAATTCTGCTCTGTGACTGGAGTTCTGCTAATCTCTCATAAATAGTATATAGCCCTATCTGCTAAGTTGCCTAATAAATATTTATTTGTTTGACGTGTGTACACATTGACACTCTTTATAGCCAACAAGACTTTGCATAATATGTTCCATGTTTACAGAGTGGCTTTGATCGTACCATTTAAAGGGAAACTATAGTGCCAGGAAAACAACCGCTTCTGTCACTTACCCGGGTCCAGCGCCGATAACACTCGCCATTGGCTCGGGTCCACCTGCTCTCCTCCTCCACCGAAGTCAGCCGGTGGGGAGACCTAATGCGCATGCATGGCAATGGCAGTGCTCCCATTAGGATTTCCCCATAGTGTTTTACAATGCTTTCATATGGGGTTTTGGTTGACGCTGTGTGCCCCTATGCATAGCATGAGGACGTCCAAAGTCACGAAACAGCCCGGAAGTCCCTCTAGTGGGTGGTGGAGTTAACCCTGAATGGTAATTTTGCAGTTTTTTAAAAACTGCAACAATTACCTTTGCAGGGTTACTGGGTCTGGGACACAGCACCCAGACCACTTCAATGAGCTGAAGTGGTCTCAGTACCTATAGTGTCCCTTTAAGTCAGTGTTAACTGGTTAGTTGATTCCACGATACTTTGTCTTCCTATCAATGGTAAAGCAAAATCGTGCTGGGGATATACCTTGTTCAATACAATGTGCGGTTGGGTTAATGTTATTATTTGAGTATGTTGCTCTGCCTGTGTTCTGAAAAAATTGTTTATAAAGCCTCCAGCACTCACCACCCAGCATTTAATATTCACTTACTGTATATGGAACTGCTGCAAACTATTTATTAAGTCTTTCCTGAACTGCAGTTACTGTACCATGCTGCTGGCTCACACCATGTGTTCACAGTGATTAACAACCGACTCTGCAGGGGGGTGTTTGTTTTTTTGGCAGAGACATGGTTAACCACCCCTTTCTCACAATGCAGATGACATTTTTTATTTGATCCCTTCACTGATATAAACCAGGGGGAGGAGGTTTGATGTGTTAATTACTTTTGCCCAGTTCCTGCCAGGCAGACTAGCATACATTTACCACACATCAGAAACCACGAAAGAATGTCCTAATGTTTACACGTAACCAGTGGTGTTTATGTGTAAATGGATCATACTTCCCAGCTGTGCAGAGATAACTAAGGCAAGTGGACCCCCTGGGCAATTCACCCTCCTGCTCTTTAGTGATACGAGATTTCTAGCTGTACACAAAAGTCTAAAATCAGGTTCACATGTAGATTTATATGGGGAAATTAGAAAAGTGGCCTAACCTGAGTTGCAGTTATTTGCTGGCTGTG